GCAAAATTCCCCTATTATATTATCTCTACACCTGCCAACTCATTCTACGGCAGTACTTTGCCTTGCATTTAGAAAAAATCGTATCCAATTTATACAAAGATGGTTTCTACACATTCACAATACTTGACCGACTATAATTCACCTATTATACCAGCGGTTAGTCCCTCATTTCATAATCATATTTACAGGTTGAAATTTATTATTACACCATTACATAAGCAATGGGTTCATTGATGACTGTTTTAAATTAGGTCAACAAAATGTTGTACACTGTGATGGTTTCATCATCCTTCTACGTTTCAGAAGCATTCATTCCTTTTCCGTTTACCTTTCTTCTTGTTTCATTATATGCAGTTTGTTTCAGACTTTTTCACATTTATTCCTTCTATTTGCTTTCTGAAGTGATATACATCCTAATTAAAAATTATCATGGTTTCTGAATTTCACATGTTATTTCAAAAAACCGCACGCTGTAAATTTAATTTGTTTGAAATACTTTGTCATTAAGAAGGGAGAAGTGGAGAGCAGCAGAGATAGGAGAAGTTCATGAGAGCTTAGATCTTTCTGGGTACTCGTGCATTGAGAAATTACCTATTTATCAGGAGCAGTATCGAATAAGGGAGATGGACGGATGGATGGATGGATGGATGGATAGCTGTCATGTGTGATTAAACTAATCTCGTCGTTGATCTAAATTTTCCATTTGTCGGGCGTCTCTATGTATATATGTGCGCATATGTCTGTTTATATACGTGTATCGGTCTGTTTTTATGTAACCGTTGCGTACACTGTCACATGCATGTTTTCTAGGAATTCTCCTTATCATGGACCTCATTTATCAAGAGTTGGTGTCAGGCCATGAAATGTTTTGACACGATAATATTAAGATATGATTTAAATATAGATGTTTCTCCTGCTAGTTTATGGCAAACCTGGGCAATAAGCTGCACCTCCTTCTTCTATTTCGAAAGAAATAGATGTTATTTTCGCGTAAACTTCACTTATCCATAAAACTGACCTTCCAGTTAAGCATCAAATGGTTTTGTTTTGCCAATGCCTATTGATGGGAGCGTTTAATATTTTTGGATAAGTTTAGTTGTTTAATCGGTTACACAACAAACCGATTAAAACAGCAGATTTCATTTGCCATTAAACATTTGGAAGCAAGTATTTTTTAGTCGTCGTTCCGAGACAAACAGTTCTTGATGATTTTGAAGTGAATATTGTGAAATGGTATTAGGGGTATGTTAGTGGTCGAAATGATGAGAATTGGTGTTTGCTATTGAGTTGCATGGAAGAGGCAGAAATGCAGTGGCTGCAAGCAAGACCTAACAAATCATTTGTGGATGGGTTCTCTGCTGGCTTTTTGTTGGTTATCAGTCACTGACACACAGGCATTAGCAATTTTACATGCCCTTTCAGTGAAATATGCATGAATTTTTGAATGGATGAACCAGTGAAGCAATGGTGAGTTACTACTCTGCGATGTAGCTACAGCTACAGAGCTGCTACTGCTACCGCTAATGCTACTGCTGGTCCCATCTTAGCTCGCTACCCCGAAAGAGATCGTTACGCTAAAGGACTTTTTTCCTTGCTTGGCTCGTTTTTGAGGATCTTCTAAATGTTGCACTGGGACGAGGTCGAAGAAGTTGCCCGGTCGAAAATTACGATTTCTTTGTCGCTGTGCTGGCAACGGCTAAGCACTTCCCTTCCTTTCACCCATTTTTTCTTGTTTCCAATTTTTAATTGATAAGTGCCGGTTTAAATGATATGAGAAATGACTTGACATTTTTCATCTCTGTTATCATTTCAAATTACCTTTTCATTTCTTTCCTCCGCATTCCTTTGAATTTCCCTCTCACTCCATCTCTCTTCTTCACTCTTTTCATTCATACTCTTGCTTCTGCTATCATTTTAAATTTTGGTCAAACTGTCAGTTTTGTTTCGCTTCTTGCAACCATCAAACCTTCATTCATCACTCATAAATTCTTACTTTGAAAAGCAAGATAAAATTGACTCTCTTCCCTGTTTCTTTATTCTATTCTATGTGTTTGTTTATGCACGATTTATTTATTTCAGTTTCGATTAATTTAAAATTAATGAATTAGAAAATACAAATCAATTTCAAAAATTCATGTGAAATGTACAGGCTCATTTAACTCCTTATTTTTCCTTGTTATCTGAACTGTTGAAAATAATGAAATCATATCGCGGGAAATGTGATGCTTTTGGAAATATTTTTCAGAAAAAAGTTCCTATCCTGTCCTTTTTATTTTAATGGTATTGATTTGGAGTAAAATCGTGGGTTTTCAATGATCTATAAATGACAAAGCAATAACAGACGTGCAAAATGAAATAGAAAGCAGTAATTCTGAGGAGCAGATGTCTTTTAAAAGAAATTCCAATATTTTACATATAGCTTATTTGAGGTTACTACGATTGTGGGAAAGTTGAGTTTTAAAATGATTCATGTTCTGACACACAGTGGCCTTTGGTGTATTCCTAATAAGGGAGAAACAGAAAAGGATTAGGATAAGAAGTAATACTTTTTAAATCGTGGTGCAGAAATAAGTCCAGTAAAGATAGTCTGAGATAGTTGTATGTTGCTGTCACCGTTAGAATATCGAAGTCAAAGTTGTTGCACTCTGTTTAAATGAACTTCGACAATGGAAAGGAAGATTTTAAATTTTCGTCCTATTTTATTGGATTATTAGTTGCTATGTTTCTTTCCGGATTATTGTTCTCAGATAACTGTAATTTTCTCTAGCGGGTAAAGACTATTGCTACAATTCATAATTCGGAATCCAGATTATTCATAATTATTTCTACACATTCATTTGTTTTTCTAAATTGTACTCTTTATGTTCCACAATCAAAAATCTTACCGAATGAGTGTCAATTGATGCATCGAAAAAAGTGTTTTCTGTGAATGTATAGGTCTTTTTCCATTCCATCACTGTCATATATTATTCTTTCGAATCTATTTATTAGATCTTTTGCACTCCTTTATTAAATATTAATCACTCGGATAATTTGTGTGTATATTGAAATCCAAATATTTAATTTATTATTTAACCTTATTGTGCGTTAAACTTAATTGGAATATTCAAGTGTTGCTCATCATTTTTTAAATTTGTAATTGAAATTCGTATTTGAGTTTCACATATTTTGAATTTTATAAAATCAAAAGCTGTACAAAAATATGCTTACAGATGGATTCTGGTAAATCACCTCTTGCAATGCTTGCAAAAACTTGCGAAACAATTGGCCTTCCCGACACATCGAGCCGTAAATCCAGTAAGGACGGTGACAAATCCAGAGATCGCACCAGTCCAAGTAGTAGTACGTCTGGTGAGACAAAAAAGGAGGAACCTAGTCCAACAGCAAAAAACAAAAAAGAAGGATCGAAAAGTCCTCGTCATATAGCGCACAGCCCATCGGTTGGAAAGAAGACCCCGATAAGTTCTGAACCATCCACCAGTGCCGCCGCTTCGTTACCTGCAAATCTGATGCTCAGTGCACGAGGCTGTTTCCCTATGAATTTTTCACCTCTTGCGACAAGCTTTCCGGCCTTCCCTTATCCATCTCTCATGCCTGGATTCCCAACGGTTCCCACTTTTGCTGCTGCTGGAGCGTTCCCAACTGGATCATCAAATCCATTTTTACGATGTCCAGATCCACTAACTTGCAAGGGTCCGTTTTTCAATACAAGAATTTTCGAAAAAAAACTTGAACTAAATGGATCAGCATTTAATAGATATTCAGATTTTTTAAATAAGTGATAGGTCGTGGTAGCCGTGGCTAGATCGTTTATTTTGAGATTTAAAAAAATAAAAATCTACTTAGTTTTCATCGTGGTTTGTGAATCCTTTAAGCCAGTTCCATTTTGAAAGAATTTTATATTTATTTATAGGATGTCCAGCAACTATGATGACAAGGCCATGCGTAACTCCAGGTTGTACAAGTTGTACAATGCACTGTGCTGCTGCTGCTGCTGCTGCTAGTACAACACCTGCCGATTTGATGATGACTTTCCCACCATCCTTTTTTGCTGCTGCTTATAGTCCACTTCTGTCAGGAACATTACCACCAACATCAAGGTAAATGTTCTTTTAAAAATCATTATCTTAATAAATAGTCGCCAAAAAATGAAAAAGTATGAAATTGACTTATAATTCTTCAAAAAATTTTTTTGAAAAAGCAATTCCATTTTAATATATTTGATAGAAACTTCTGCTGTTTGGTGACAGAATTTTAACCTCATGTCTTGAATTCATTAATTTCTCAGAAATCTTGAATTAGATGTCTTTTTTTTCAGAAAGTAGCGCAATTCAATTGTAGCAAAATTCATCACTTTTGTGAGTTTTTTTTTGTTTTTTTCAGTTCAGCAGCTCAAATTGCTTATCAAAATTTGATGGCTGCAGCTTCTGGACAAGCAACGAAGCATATTTGTAATTGGATAGAGTCGTCAAATGGTGTTTGTGGAAAATCGTTTCCAACTGCCGATGAACTTGCTGCACATATGAAGGTATGCATTCTATTCATTGTGCACGATCAGATGCACTCATCTGGGATTTTTAAAATAAAACAGCTGGTTGAGAATGATAGTATTGCAAAAAGGTAATTTTTTAAGTGGTAAAAAAGAATGATAACACGGATTCAATGAATTACTGTTAGTGAAAGGATTGGAATTTTCAGGCGGCTCATGCTCCATCAACAACAAGTTCAAACAGTAGCAATGATCTAAAAACGAGCAGTTCACCACGTTCAACCACTACAGCATCGTTAATTAATCACGCTGCAGCGGCCGCTTCCCTTCGTTATCATCCGTATATGAAACCAAGTGGTTTGATGCCAGCTGTACCAAATCCACTTGGAATACCTCCATTCCCGACAATGACAAGCTTTCCTTCAGCTGCTGCTTTGCAGGCCATGTATACTCAACGTCTTATGGCTACCATGCCTCATCCGTAGAACTCATTTATATCCTTACCAGGTTTCTTTTATGCTCATCGTGTTAGCAGTTGAGATAATGATGAATATTATGACACAGTGTCTTCTCCGCTTAGTTAAAATCTTTGGAAAATATGCTGTATATTGAATTTTTCCAACTATTATCCCCCATTCCATAAAATATTCAGGTTGAATTTGAAAATAATAGGCTTTAACTGTGATATAATATTCTTTTAAATAAATCTTGTAAATCTATGAATTTAATCTCAAAAGAATTGCAGTCGCCCGTAGCATTTCGACAGAAAAACCGGCTTTTATAGGGTTAGTAGGGAGCGCTTATTGATTATTGATCATCAAAGCCATAAGCTGTATCAATTTCTCAGCAGTTATTTATTGCGGGTATTTATTCAGCAAACTGTGTTAACTAACTCATTTTTGTACGGTGTTTTCTTTTTTTGGTATGCTTCATTTTGCTTCTTACGAATTGTATCTGAATTTAGGTTCATGGTTCATGCAAATTTTAGATCTATCATTATATTTCATTGTTTTTTGCTTCGTGTTTTTTAGCAGTCTATATTTCAAATCTTACAGAGGAACTTTTTCAAAATGAAAATTAATGCATAGAATAAGACGTGATAATCTAGTTAACAATTACATCTAGGAAAAAAAATTTTTTTTCCGTTCCAAACACTAGTAGAAAGATACTTTTCTTCAAGTCCATTTTCTTAATTTCGAATAAAATCAGTTGTCTATTTTATTCCCTTTTCATACCTTCAATCTTCATCAGTTGACAAACAGGAAAAATTTCCAAAAATTTTGTGTTAATCCTAGAAATTTTAATAAGCTTCGCTGTTTTCTGCATCGTCATCACATGAACGATTGTTTTTTTTTCGCCATATTTGTTATTAAAATATTGTGCGAGAAAACGTCTCTTTTATTTTCCATTTTCCTTGCTTCGTTTCAGTAATTTTGGGTAGTTATTAAAGCAAACAAAAAAGGGATTATTTTTCTGTATATATAAAACATTCATTTGTGCACACAATAAAATTTGTAACAATTTCTTGATTACAGCGTTTTAAACTCCCATTAAAACACACGAGAAGATATCTGTTATTCATTTTAATTTCGTGAAAATTTTCAGTCTGTAAATTTATTATCCTCACACAGAATTCCTCTATTATTCTTTACGAAATTTTAAAAAATTGATGAGTTCACGAGAAAAATAATTTCTGGAAAAACAAGTTGCTTACTCATAAAACCTTTGAAAACAAGCGGCGATTATCTAAGAAAATTTTGGATATGAGCTATTTCGTTCCAAAAGGAATGAAATTTTTACTGGTTTGAAGTTGCACAATTTTCGGATAAATCAAACTAAAAACGAAGGCGATGAAAGATTGACAACTTTTTCTTGGTAGAGAAGGAGGCATCGGAGAAAGATTGTTTACAGCCATGAAGAAGGGTTTAATGGGGTAGGGAAAGAAGAAATAAGAAAAGGCAGGAAGGGAAAGAGAGAGAGAGAAAGAGAGAGAGAGAGGGAGAGAGAGGAGATGTGTTTTGTGAGGCCATTAAAATCAACATTTAATAAATGTTGATGGATGAGACAAAAAATGGCTCATTAATCTTCTTTTCGTACCGTAACGATGATCGATTGACGGCTGAAATGATGCATTGGGACAGTTCGGCGAAGCATAAAGGGTTATCTGATACTCTATTCTGCGCAACACTACGAACAATTTTTCAAATTTAGCAAACCGGAAAAAATGGTTGACGTTGTTCCAAAGAGAAACTGGCACTGTATGGCTTCGGGGGCTCGCTATGTCACAATCTACAATTTACTTGATTAATGATCTTAATTGGAGATTAAAAATAACTGCGTGCATCTGGGATGCTGAAATGGTCAAATATTTTTTGTGGATAATAAATCGTGATACTGGATTGGTCGAAGCTGTACCTATCATCAACAAGAAAAGCATTGATCAGGATAATGTAGATGATATCAAGTTGATTTAACTTACTTAGCGATCTATCAACTCTTCAGTATTGATCGCTCATTATCTGATATCATCAAATTATATGCAAAATATAAAGGGATAAAATTGATCCTTTCGTTTTCTTCACTTTCTCAGTTTTTCTTTATGTATTAGCACGGAATTATACTGATGAAAGAACTTCAAGGAAAAGATCATTCAGCCAAGATTCTGATTGAAAAATAAATCCGAATAACAGCTTATTTATGGTGCTTTTAGTTATGAAACTCCAGACTTGAACCGAACGTAGATTAAATGCAAGAAGAATACGATACTTAGGAGAGTTTTCAAGATCATAGCAAGCTATCTATTTGAATTCAAAAAGTTCTAATTCTATTCAGAAAAAATTTGAATATATTCAATAAAAAATTTGAATTCAATAAAACATTCAATAAAAAATTTGAATATATTCAATAGAAATTTGAATATATTCAAGAAAAAATTTGAATATTCAATTAGATAATGCGGCAAAAATGTATAAATATTGTGGAGTCATAGTCAAGTTATCATTGTAAGTTATTATAATCTGAGGTTGTCGCGTCTAGCTAGAAAAAAATGTCTGCTGAGAATTCGACAGTTTCGGGGGTTCCCGATCCAAATCATTCGAGTGGAGATTCTTTGCTAGCAGGAACTCCCGCTACGGCCTATGTCACCGTTCGTGCGTCCAACGAGGAGAAAGCGAGAAATTCGGGAAAAGATTCCGAGAGTTTCCTTGTTGGAGATACTAACCTAACCGCTGGACAGAGTGGTGGAGCAGAGAATCGCAACACAGAAGTAAAAACACATTTGAGTATCTTTTCGATGATATAAAACTTGTAGTAGATGTAGGTTATTTTTACATTTATTCAAGCATACTTTTCCTAGTTCTAAAATTATGTTTAAAGAGTTTAAAGAGTTAGAAAAAAAGTGTTCGAAGTGCTAGCGGAAGAATTACTCAATGAAATCTTTTTCAGTGTAATCCGACTGCTCCGAAAGCTGATGCACCTAATCGTGGTCGAAGCTTGGCGAAAGATAATCCAGGCCTTCGCAATAGAGGAAGTTCGCCGATGTCACTCACGGGAGCTGCAAGACTGATTGCGATGCGCAGAGGTTTTATTGGATATCGCCGTCATCCCACTCCGTTCCCCTCCAAAAATCGTCGTCGCAACAAAAAGTAATGAAGGCTTGAAAGCCTATGTGATTTCATGCACTTGCAATGATTATTATTGCATTAATTATTATAATGTGATTTATGTGCATGATTAGAAAGAATTAAAGTTTTATAATTGCAAAAGTATTGTAAGTTAAATGTACTGTATATATCGTTTCACTAAAAGAAATTGGATGCAAATAAGCACCTGTACCAATGTAACACATCATAACTTGGAGATCTTGAGAGAGTGATGCCGAATAATAATAATCGTCATCTATTCTTGAAATGACCAGAGAAAAAAATATTAAAAACGCTCTGAACTCATTAAATCGAAACATCCATGAGACCACAAAAATCAAAATTTTATTATTTTTTTGCTTCTTTTTTATTTTTTTTGAACATATTAAATTTTTAATGTTTTTTAATGTTGAAAGGTGATACATTTCCACCAGACAAATTATACGCTAATCAGCGTTAACAAATGATGTGAAGAAAATGGAGGTTAAAACTCTATACTTTCCAATAGAGTGATAATTGAGAATTCCAACAAGTTGTAAAGATTCCGAAACGATAATTATTGTTTAAGAGTAAATGAGCACTGTATTTTATGCCCCTACGTTTCAAACTTGTTTATGTCGGTCGATGCATTTGTATTTTTTATCCGCAAAACTTAATTGAGAAAACCTGTTATATATGTAATTCAGGCTTTCAAAAGTTAAGTAATTAATCTGTATCAATGTATTAGTACAATTTACCTTGTGAATTTCGATTTTCATACTATTCAAAATTACATGATTGAAAAATAGACCACAAAACAATTTATGGCAGCTAATGAATGACAGAGTAAAGGTGAAAAGAATTTGTAAGTAATGTTATAAACATATTTCACATTGTGAAAATAGATCGTAAGTTTAGTAATATTTGAAATGTTTTAAATGTGATTGTGCTGATGAATAAAAACAACTGTGCACGGTAATGCATTTGAAAATCGTGATTTAAACAAATTTCGATGTTTTAACTATAAATAAAAATTTACCCAACTGAATTTGTCGGTGTCAACTAAAATTTCATAGTTCAAAAGTGAGATACTACTCTTTAATTCATCATCGCAATAAGAGAATGCAATATTGAATGGCAATACCACCTCCTCACACTTAATTCATGAAATGCTCACTTCCTTAATGTTTACAATCGAGCACTACTCCTCCTTACTATTACTTACGCTCATCCTAGCTCTATAAGCCTTTTGGATTTGTAGCAAAGTAATAAGGTGCTGCTGCTTTTTATGCTATAACGTTTTCTGGAAGTTGGCTCCGTTTTTGTGTCATGTGATGCAATCCACGCCAATCATATTAAGTTTTTACATAGCTGCATGCATTTCCAATCATTTTCATATAAATAAGTTAGTCATCATATTCACTCAGTCGAATTTGTCATTCGAAATGATACATAAAACGCAACTTTGAAATGATAAAAGAGGGCGGTAAATGGGTTAAGAAAGTCGGGACTGGGATGGTATCCAAGTGAAGCGTTTTGGAGGAAAGGCCAAAATGATTGATTGATGGTAGGTTTTGAGGTGGTAGTGCTGAGGCACTCATTGATCAATCATTCTTCTTTTAGAAGGTGATTCCTGTTGTTCGCCCGTCTCTCCCTCGTGTCTTCAGAAGCAGTTTCGTCGAAGTTAAAAGAGAAAAGGGGAAGAATTTGAAAGACGAAGCAGAAGCACTTCTACTAAATTCTTTCAAAACTGTCTCATTTATCTCATTTGAAAGAGATGCCTATCAATCTACTATTTCCTAGTTCTCCCTTCTGGAAATTGCCGCTATCCATTGCTTACGCTTCAACAAAACTTATGGGACTCAATATTGGTAGTGTTAAATGGATCACTTTGCCACTGCAACAAGCAGCACATTTCATATATATTGACAAAAGAGAAAGAGTTCGATGCTCCCGAGAATGATTGATGCATTAACAATCGGTGCAAACTAACAAATTCCTCTTTCCTCTTCCCTTTGTTTCCATTTCTATGGTGTAATTACAATTTTCAGATACCAAATTGTCATTTCTTTATAAAATTGTCCTTTGTTTTCCCCCCAAATTTGACACTTTTTTGACTGATGGATGGAGTTCGAAACAATCCATTGTAACTGTCGTTTTGCATATGCAAATATATTTAATTTACCTGCAGAAATATCTTGTTACAGATGCAAACTTGTATGCTAACATAATATTTACACTTCAGTTCAAATGGACAACGGGTTTCAATTTCATAATTACAAAGCTGTCAGAAACAATTTTTTGAATTCAATACTGTTAGGGTTCAAACTTCTATGTTCTAAATAATTGCCGTTTTAAAACAATAAAATTCGGCAATGTAGTTTTAATACAGTGATTCATTTATTATAATGCTAACCATAAATTATGTTTAACGTATCACCGGAAATGATATTATCAAAAATCAGTTGTGTGTAAGAAGTTGACATTTCCACTATTTTGACATCTGAAAAAGACAAGTCTCATGTTTATTGTGAAATTTCGCAAATAATATTAAAGAATGAAAGTTGAAAGGAACGAATGGAGTGCAGCAGCTGTCAATCACATCGTCACCACTGCTTCGATATACGGTAATATAAGGATGATGTTAACATTACCATTTCTCACCCTTCCTACCATATCCTCTAACAGATAGCATTATAACTATCAAATATATTGTAAGCCGCTGACATGAGACAAATAAAGCTATCATAACTAAATTCAAAATTCCATCTAATAATTATTTCAGATTGAACGACATAAATAATATAAGTTGCTCAGTTTACACTGTACTTATTTCAAAAAAATTAGCTATGATATATGCATAAAATATACTGGAAGATAAGTCATCAGTAGCATCATTAGCAATAAATTTTATTTCTGTCGAATAAAAAAGTTATTTTATAGTTATAATTTCGGCTTGCATAATAAATCTAAATTTTCCCATTGAGTAGAATGTATGCTGTTTTTTCTTAAATAGTGCCCTTAAAATATGCAGAAACTTCCGAAAGTCAAGAATCTCAAAGATAAAACTTTAACTGACATAGCGAATTGAAATATGTAACGCAACATATAATACAAGAAGAATTGCGTATGCAACGATTTGAACTGTTTTCTTTCTTTTATTTTTGTAGGACGAATGCATTGAGACAAAGTTTGGAATTCGATTAGAAGAAATTTAAACTTACCCTGTCAACAGTTTTATTTTGACATGTGAGTTCAAAAGGTGCACTTCATCTATATGCTACGAGGATGGACAATTCTAATTGTTAAATGTTGCATCGACGAAATCATTTAACTGATCAATTCAAGCAATAAAGACTGCCAATCGAATTGGCTGCTATGTCCTTTTTCAGCTGACGCTAAATTTATACAACCATTAACTGTTGTTTTTACTATTACTTGGCAGAGTAGAACAAGTCCAAGTTTTTTGAGTTTAAACTAAATTTAATTCAGAAAACAGTTGCAGGTACCAATGTTTTAAAACAATATGAAAGCATAATTAAATTAATTCCTGAAGTGAAATTTTTTTCTTTTTTTAAAGGAATAAATTAGATAAAACTCGAGCGCCATCGGATAATATCGTAAAAGTTTTTCAAAAAGAATATTTTTTCAGCAATATCAATTTTTAAACGATTTTTTCACAAAAAAAATAGACTGTCAATTGATGATCATTAATTCTGTTTAAGAATGAAACGAGGGAAAACTACAGTTCGTTTAAAAAATTAGTATTTGAGAGAGTCGACGAATCTGAATGAAAAAAAATGTATTCATTCTTTTCACTTTGATTTACTTAACTTCAAAATCTCAATTCATTTGTTAAAATGACACTCTTCTATCCATCACTATGAATCCATTACTCTGCTGTGGGATGAACTGTATTATTCGCAATATCTTGCATATTTTATATTGTAATTTATATAGATGTGAAAACAACTTTCCCATGTTTAAAATACAATTTGAGACCTTTGAAAATTTTTGACAACGCTGTTATTCAATAATTCATTAATATTCGAACTAATTTCATTTAAATAGTTTTTATTTTCTCTCTTTCTGTGCATAATTTTGGAAGATTATTGCTATTTAAATAGCGATTGATAAGGGGAAAAACACTAATGAGAGAGATATTATCAGCGAGAAAGTCAGAACGTCTAAAAAGATATGCATATCTCTTTTAGAAGTAATTGATTTTAGGGACTGAGTGAAATGGAAATTTCGTGGTCTTCTACTTCATTCAACAAGGTTGGATTTTTTATCAATATTATAGATTGGATAATACTTCAAACAACTGTTCGATATAATAGTGATTCAAAGCAGTTCCATCTCCTGTTCACAATCGGTTTTTTTTTGCTAAGGCAATAATAACGAAGAAATGGATTACTGGAAAAAGGATTGATTTATAATAGGTGGCCTGCTGATACATCATTTCCAATTTGATGATTTATGAGGTTTCTGCGTCGGTGGCACAAACATTAACTGCTCATCACAATTTTCCAGTTCCCCAGTGTGTTACATAAAATTCAAAAAAGAACGAATAAATTTAGAACTCGTTTCCAAATCTTTTTTGTATTCTGTTGAAATGTTAGAGCTCGACGAAGATTGACTATCTTTTGCCATCACCTCTCAAAAGATGATTTCAAAACGTGATGCATTACTAAACCCTTTTTTTTTTTAATGTTTAAAAAGCATGAATTCGCAACCATCAAGGATAATGATATAATCATTCCACAACATTTATAGATTTTGGCTTCGTATTCTCATTGAGTTATGCAGGCATTGGTAATCATTCATTGTTCGGTTAAAAGAAATATCGGTGTTGTAATTATAATACAAACGAAGAACAGATGTTTAGATATGGCGCAATCTGCAATCTTCACTTCCCTCATGATGACGCAAGGAGTAGTAGACGCAACAACAACCACGCAATGTATTTGTTTGCATTAATTAACAAAGCTCTTCTCCGCAATTCTAAATAGTTGATATTTCTCGTCA